ATATGGGTGCTGGGGGCTAGGTATATGGGTGCTGGGGGCTAGGTATATGGGTGATGGGGTCAAGGGAGATGGGGTGCTGGGGCCTGGGAAGATGGGTACTGGAGGCAGGGAGATAGGTGCTTGGGGTTGGGAAGATGTGTGCTGGGGGCTGAGGAGATGGGAGCTGGGGGGCCTGGGGAGATGGGTGCGGGGGGCAGGGAAGATGGGAAGATGTGTGTGCTGGGGGCTGGGTATAAGGGTGCAGGCGCTGGGAAGATGGGTGCTGGGGGCTGGTGAGATGGGTGCTAGGGGCTGGGGAGATTGGTGCTGGGGGTAGGGGAGATGGATGCTGGGGGCTGGGAGGATGTGTGCTGGAGGCTGGAAAGATGGATACATGGGGCTGGGGAGATGGGTGCTGGGGGCTAGGATGATGAGTGATGTGAGCTGGGCATATGGGTGCTGGTGGCAGGGGAGATGGATGCTGGGGGCTGGGGAGATAGGTGTTGGGGGCTGGGAAGATTATTGCTGGGGGCAGTCGAGATAGGTGCTCGAGGCTGAGTATATGGGTGTTTGGGCCTGGGGAGATGGATGCTGGGGGGCTGGGAAGATGGGTGCTGGGGTCTAGGTATATGGGGGCTGGGAAAATGGGGAGATGGGTGCTGGTTGCTGGGAAGATGGGTACTGGGGGCTGGGAAGAAGGGTGCTCGGGGCAGGGAAGATGGATGCTGGGGGCTGGGAAGATGAGCGTTGGGAAGATGGGTGCTGGGGGCTAGGGAGATGGGTGCTGGGAGATGGAAAGATGGGTGCTGGGGCCAGGAAAGATGGATGCGTGGGGCTGGGAAGTTAGGTGCTGGGGGCTGGGTAGATTGGTGCTGGGGAATGGGAAATATGCGTGCTGGGGGCTGGGAATATGGGTACTAGGGGTTGGAAATATATTCACCTACATACTATTCAAATTTATAAACCAGGGTGCATATGTCCCAATGAAATAAATACAATATAAATTATTCATAAAAAGCTAAGGTTGTGTTAAGACGCTCAAAAATATTTTAATTTAGCATCATACATACAAAATGCAGCACTCATACTTACACTAAAAATACACAAAATAAAAAACATACAGAATATAACACATGCACATTTACACTCAATATAGCATTTATGCACAAAGCAATTCTACACATATATTCCATTTACACAGAAAATACAGCATTCACACACCAGATATGACATTTATGTACAAAATATATTATTTACTCTCAAAATATTTCATTTACATTCAAAATATGCCATTCACACACAAAATATACCATTCACACACAAAATATGCCATTTATAGACAACATATGCCATTTACATACAACATATGTCAGTTGCACACAATATATACCATTTACACAAATACTGTATATACAGTCAAAGTACAACATTTACACAAAGTATGGTATTTTCTTAATTAACTATAACAAATTTCATATATGCTCTTACAAGCAAAAAGCGCTTCCACTAAAATTACACAATTCCATTAACATAATTTTCACAAAAATACCCACACTGTGTCTCATAAACCAAATACACTTTCGCATGAAGATCTATTTTCAAATAACATATTGCGAACTTACACAAATACACAATTCACCCCAAAAAAATACAGTTGCCCCATTTCCACTTCAGCGTATTTAAAACACAATTTTTATATATACACTATTCGCACAAAACAGTTGTAAAACATGGACAATTATTACACAAATTGTGTAATTAATACACATCCCTGCACAATTAATGCAAGCAAACTTGCTATATAATTACACAACTTGCACAATGCCAATCAATTCACGAAGATATAAATAAACAATTCGTCCATATACAATTACACAACATGCGCAGTTAATACACAACTTGGACAATTATTAAACATCCCTCATTATTATTTCACAACCTGCACAAATGCATATCCTGCACAAATACATATAATTTATAACTAGCCCAAATATGTAAATACACAACCAGCACAAATACACAATTTACACAAATACAGTTACGACATTTACACAATTAATAAACAACTTGCATAAAAATATAATCAATACACAACTAGCACAAATATGAACACAACTATTCAATTCCACAAATACACATACAAAACATGAATAATTAATACACAACTTGCACAAACAATACACAATTTGTTGGATTATAGTCAATACATAATTGCAGTCATCATACAACGTATGCAAAATACATAACCTTCACAGATGTATACAAAACTTGTACAAGTACAATAATTGTGTTATTTGTACAAATACAACCACGGCCAATTAGGCCAAACAATACACGATTTGCATGATATTTTTCTAGGTCTGTTTAGGACATTATTTTTAAAATGCTGAGTTTGACCAACTCCCACAAAAGTCAGAATTTCACATGAATGAATGATACGTCTGACATCCTATGAGCTCAATATAAAAACACATACATTTTCCATTAATGTTTCAACATCATTAGTGCTAAATTATTCATCTAACATATGTCCATTGTTTTGAATGCCTTATTAATCCCCCCTTGTTAGATCCTCTACAATCATGTTACCCATATTTATTTAGGTAAACCATCCAACAGACTTCTTGGTTCTAGCCTTAGTTATATTATGTTACGGCAGGTGAATTTAGGTGAAGTCAGTAATTTGTATGATATTTTAAGCAAATTTACTATATCCTATCAAAAATTAAACCAATTAGAATCTAAATTCATCTAAATCTATCGAAAATTATACACATACTACACAAATTTAAGCAAACTCAACCTAGCAAAAGCTAAACTAACTAAATATAAGCAACTTATATCCACACATACAAGCCTATGACACCTCTGTCCATTCATTACATAAGTTAACTATAGCTCGAACCCCCTAAATAGGTGAATTTACACTATTTTATGAACATGATAGTTCATTACCCCTAAGATATTATATATCCTACCCTATACAACCCCACCTAACCTCACCTAACATATCCAAAGCTAGATTTAATTTAAGTTGGCCAAATTTAAGCTATTCACACCTAAATTCAACCTGATTTAATTCAATTTCCACCTAATATACCCCCAATGTTTTGTATCATAGCACAGCCAATGCCCATTTTTTGCCCAGATTTTCACCTATTCCATCCTACCCTACACCACATTACCTAACCTCACCTGACATATCCAAAGCTAGATTTGATTAAAGTTGGCCAAATTTTAGCTCTTCCCACCTAAATTCAATGTAATTTAATTCGATTTCCAACAAATATAGCAAAATGTTTTGTTTCATAGAACTGACAATGCCCATTTTTGCCCACATTATCACCTATCCCAACCTACCCTACATGACCTTACCTAACCAGACCTAGTATTTCCATGGCTAGATTTGAATAAAATTGGCAAAATTTATGCTGTCCCAACCTAAATTAAACCTAATTTAACAGATTTCCCTCCAAATATACCCAAATATTTTGTATCATAGCACAACCAATGTCCATTTTTACCCACATTTTCACCTATTCCATCATACCCTACACCACCTTACCTACCTCACCTGACATACCCATAGCTAGATTTGATTAAAGTTGGCCAAATTTAAGCTATTCCCACCTAAATTCAACCTAATTGAAATTCAGGTTCCACCAAATATATCCAAATGTTTTGCATCATAGCACAGCCAATGCCCATTTTCTCCACATTTTCACCTACACGACCTTACCTAACCAGACCTAGTATATCCAAAGTTAGATTTGATTAAAGTTGGCGAAATATATGCTGTCCCACCTAAATTCTACCTAATTTAATTCAATTTCCATTAAATATACCCAAATTAATTTGTAATATAGCACAGGCATAGCGAGGGGTAGTTAGATTCATATGCAAAACATCACGTTCTGTGAATATGGATACAATGTTCAACAAAGAACCAAGTAGGTTAGGCACAGTGCGGTTAGGTTCATATCCAAAACTTTACTTTTCTATGAATATAGATTCAATATTCAACAAAGCTCCAAGACTCTTGCAGGTTAGGCACAGGCATTTAGGTTTATATACGAAATGAACACTTTTCTGAGTATATGTCGTATCAGAGGTTTGGTCCAAAGTGGTTGAGTTGCGGTAATATGAGGAAAAATACCTAGTAACAACACACTTCTAATAATAATTTATCAGCAAAATTAGCTGTAATCCAAGGTGCAGTGGATATTAGAAGTAGACATTATTAGCTCTGAGTGGTTAATTCATGCTCTGGATGTGATGTTCATAGGTACATTTAGTAGAATTTGGGGTTTTGGTTTGATATAATTAGGATAAATTTACTGGAATAGTTACAAATTTGGTTAATTTGGATGAATTTAGCTAATGTTGTTAGGATAGGTTAGGTTAGGTCTGGTTCGGTAGAATTGATGATAGAGAACACATCTGGAAATTGGAAATAGCTTGACGACCAGAGCGCTAGCTCTATTTAATGGTCTTGGGAATAGGGGATGTTGTGCCAAGACTGGATGTTGGATATTGGAAGATTAGATGGAATAGGTGAAACGTGGATAAAATAGGCTTTTGACTGCTATGATACAAACCATTTTGGGTATATTTGACAGAAATTGTCTTAAATTCAAATTAGATGGGACAGCATAAATTTCCCCAACTTTTATTCAAATCTAGCTTGGGATATGCTAGGACAGGTTAGGTGAGATTGTGTAGGGTAGGATGGAATAGGTAAAAATGTGAGTAAAAATGGGCTATGGCTGTGCTATGATACAAGACATTGGGCATATTTTGTAGGAATTCTCTTAAATTAGGTTTAATTTAGATGGGACAGCATAAATATCTCCAACTTTAATCAAATCTAGCTTTGGATATGCCAAGTCAGGTTAGGTAAGGTGGTGGAAGGTAGGTTGGAATAGGTGAAAATGTCGGGTAAAAATGGACACTGGCTGTGCTATGTTACAAATTATTTGGGTATATTTGGTGGAAATTGGATTAAATTAGGTTGAATTTAGGTGGGACTTGAAGGAAGTGACAATATGGAGAGTAGTGATAGTGTGGAGGGAAGTGACAATGTGGAGCGTAGTGATAGTGTGGAGGGAAGTGACAATATGGAAGGTAGTGATAGTGTGGAGGGAAGTGACAATATGGAAGGTAGTGATAGTGTGGAGGGAAGTGACATATGTTGAAGGTAGTGATAGTGTGGAGGGAAGTGACAATATGGAGAGTAGTGATAGTGTGGAGGGAAGTGTCAGTGTAGAAGAAATTGTCAGTGAGATGGGAAGTGTCAATATGGAGGTAAATTTCAGAGTGGAGGGAAGTGTAAGAAGAGAGGGAAGTATGAGAACGGATGTAAGTGTCAAGATTTGATGTAAGTGTCAATAGTGGATGGAAGTTTCATAATATAACAAAGTCAAGAGTGAAGGAATGTGTCAAGAGTGGATGGAAGTGTCAAAACATAGCAAAGTGAGTGGAGGGAAGTAAGAAAGCAGTTGCATAAATTGAGACAAATTAGGTTTCTCTTTTAATGTAAGTGTTAAGTATATGACAGCGCCACGCATGACAATAGTGTAGGTCTTAGGGTCGTGTATGACAATATTTGAAGAGTTAGGGTCCAGTATGACAAGGGTGTAAGTGTTAAAATCGTGTATGACAATGGTGGAGGTGTTACGGGACGTGAATGACAATGGTGGAGGTGTTAGGGGTTGTATATAAAATTGTAATCGAGTCAACACTGTTGAGAATGGTAAGGACCCAGCAAAGCTGCACCATGAGACCTGAAGACCTGAACAGGCTGAGAGTATTAGCAAAGAAATGGATACTGGAGTGTAAGCCCAACATCTGCAACGGAAAATGTTGGGAAAAGGAAGAATGAGCTAGCGAGATAGCACAAGGATCCAGAATATGTAAGTGAATAAAAACAGGTAAAAAACTTGCAACGGTACATAACACAAAATCCATTAAAGGAATAACACAGTAGAAAAACACAACCTGGGAAACATAAATATTTTGTTCTAAATCCTAAAAAGGAATCTTGCAATATACCATGATATATGCAAGTCTAGCATCGAACCAATAACTAGTGAAGGCCAGGAATAAAATGGAGTAAGTTGAGAAATCTGTCACAAAGCCAGTACTAAAGATAAGTGATATGCGTTATCAGCACACACACCAAGATACACAAATATTATGACATTAAGAGAAAAATATAAATTGTTCCAATTGAGAGATGACAAGACGAGGGGACACAAATGGAAGGTAGAAGGAGAGATTATGTAGAAAATTATTCGTATACAATGAGAGTAGTAAAGGACACCACAAATCTTGAATATGAGATGGTATAAGCAGCATCCATTCCCAGCCTCAAGAGCAAGTTGAAAAGTAGAACTGTAACGTTAACAGTTCTAACGTTACAGTTCTAACGTATAAATGCATCAGATACAATACAATGAGGCGTGGCTCCAGAGCTGGAGCTCGGAGTCAGTAGTCACAGCTACGTAAGGACAACACAATTAAAATGCAAACGGGAGGGAAGAACTCCTCTCACAACGTCCAAAAGCTGGGTTGATGGAAGAGTTGAGGAATTGACAGAGTGATCCCACACTCAATGGATATTGACTGAACGAAGGTCTTGTATTCACTTTGTCCATCGAGTGACTTGACAGCATCTTCCCCTTGCTCAGTTGTCTTCATCCCTTTTACCGTATCTGTTTCTCTCTCCTTCTCTCTATTTAACTAAGATTTGGGGTCATTATAACAAACTAGTTGTTGTAGGAAGGATCCAGAATGTTCTAGAACCCACGGGTAGGGACCTGACCCCAAGCAAATGGTCGAATACCCGGGGGGGGGGGATATTGGCGGTGAAAATAACTGCCGCCTTTGTTCACAATTTCGTATAATGAATTATTCCACATCATTCAATAATTTAGAGAAATTAGTCTTCATTCAAATTGTATACTATTATTGTTTATAGTATCAAGAGTATCCCGATTGTCAGGATAATGAGTTAAGTCACCATCAGTGACGTCGCGAGCCGGGACTAGACTTTGCGGCGGAGTGACCTGAGGTCACAGGTCATCAGAGTTTCCACGTCCACTATTTCTCAAAGGTCAAATAGCCATTTTGTAATCGGGAATAGCCCTTCCCTAAGATGCTTGTGTAATTAACTTCAGTTAAAACAATTCAACCAATCTGTGTCAGTCAGTGGAACAGAGATGAGTTGTTCAACTTAAGCCTTGCTAGCAACTTAGTAAACTAGGCGGAAGGATACCGATCTGAGCGTCTGGGTAGAGGAGCATGTGGTAAAGACAGTGTGGTTCCAGGAGCGGCCCGGGCAGGTGGCCTCAATCATTGGCCCAAGACCTAGCACAAACATCTAGCTGGTCGCCTCAAGGTAGAGTGCTATAAGAGTTTGATATAGGGCAGTAGTTCAACTCATTGCCGAGTCATGTAGGAAGTGTTAAGCCAGGGAATGTTTTGATTTTTAGCTTTTGTTTAGTTTTTGAATAAACCATTTAGCTATTAAATCGTCTTTTTTTTTATTAATTTCCATTTTATGTAATTTATGTGTATTGTCCCGTACCACGTGGGTAGCCGGAGAGGCCGAGTTGAGTTGGGCGCCAATTCTAACACCAAATCAGAATTCATTATCCCTTTGTTTTTAATTAATTCCACACTAAAACGTAAATCCAATTTCATATATTACTAGTGGGGATCAAGCCCCGAGGTTTATTGATTAGCATGATCGATCCAGACCTCGGTCATTGCTCAGTGGTAGTGGTCTGGTGGTGGCAGCGCAAGACGATTCTAGAGTTCTGCTAGAAGTCTGTTTCACGTCATAAGGTTGTAGAATCTTCAGTCGGTCAACGGCTTAAGACCACGTGGCGTGGGGTCGGCTCAAGTAAAGCTCTGGGGGTCCCTTGGTATTGAGAAGCGAATAAAGATTAAGAACCGGGTGAAGATAAAAGTAGATTAGAAAGGTGAAGAACGACATCCGGGTTACAATGGTATACACCCATGTTACATCACGAATGTCAGTTGAGATACTTAGTGAATCTGCAAACAAGCGCTGTTATCCTACCACAGCTTATCTGGAAAACTGGCATTTGAGTCCAAATTATTTCTTGAGATTATTAAATAAATAATTTGAAAAAAGTTATTTAAATATAATCATCACATAAGGAACAATCATATAAGGAATAAGATGAGCCTGTCGCCAACTGTGTGCCAGAGCCTTCTGGGCTACCAGTTAGTTTTTTAAACTTTGTTCAATGTCAACATATCTTTCTTGACTAATTGTATATGAAAAGGGCTGCAATTGTTTCAAGCTTCAGTACTGCAGCCTGAATAGAAAGGGAGTTTTTTTTTCATCGAATATTACACATTTTCAGAAAGTCCCTACAACCACAAGTTTCAAATATAATCATTCTATGACTTTTTTCTGACACATTAGCATATAATAAAGACTCTGTAGCCTCGGATGTTCCAAAATACCTTTAGTTTTACTAATACAAATAGTCAAAGTTCCCCGCAAAATTATGCAAATATATCATGTTTATTGCTATATAAAAATCAATAAATGAAATTAGGAAAAACCCTGGCATAAGATTTTGGAGACATAAACTTTACATATAAGGTGTAAGTTTCATGTATATTGAATAAAAATGAAAAAGTAGGGACTCATTTGTTACTTGAAAACTAAATCATTAAAAATTATAGTCTAAGGTCCTGCCATCTGTGGCTGAGGTTGACATCAACCAATTTCCTCCAAAATTGGCACCATTACAGGTAGGTTTACGTGCAGTCAGGTGTATAAGTCTCATACAAATCGTCCGATAAACAAATAAGAAAAATAAAATTGAAAAAAAAAATCCAAATTTTTTAAACTTAATTTTTGGGGGATAAAATTAATTATTAATATGTTTAATATATACTATTGTGATAGCTAAGAGTCATAGACATGATTTCAGTTGACACTTGTGTTTGATGGTAATTTATGACCATTTTGGAAAATTTTTGACACATTATTCAATATTTTTTCTCCCTTCTTATTTATGTTACGATGCTGAGACTTGGACCCGATGAAACCCTTTTCATATACAACTCGTCAAAAAAGTTTGATTGAAATCGAACTAGTATTACTTTATTGCATATTATGGGCATATTTGACCTCATGCCCCCTTCACGTGATTTGTAGTTGTAGTAGTTGACCTGACCTCCCATGTATCAACTTGTTGACCTATCAAGTTCCAGATGTGATTCTCAGCCTTGGAATGAATTATGGATGATGGAGTGATGTTTTTGAGAAAGGCAGTTCCGAAATGAGGCTGTCGATGTCTGAGAGCCTAGTGCTACGGGTATCAACTACCGCACGTGACCCAACTTCGTGGACAACCCGTAGTTGTTGTCCACGAAGTTGGGTCACGTGCGTAACATTGAGATTGCTAGCCTTGTACATAACAGCAAGTCCACCAATGTCACGACTGTGTTGGTGGCTCTGATGCTCTCTCTCTCTCTCTCTCTCTCTCTCTCTCTCTCTCTCTCTCTCTCTCTCTCTCTCTCTCTCTCTCTCTCTCTCTCTCTCTCTCTCTCTCTCTCACTTTAGAAAATGAGAAACAAAAGAATAATATACAAAACAATATTTATTTGGAATATATTAATTAGGTATTGCATTTGGTAATTAAAGAACAAATAATTCTATAGCAATATTAACAAGAGCAGGTTGTGTTGAGGAGAGGAGGAGAGCACAGGGCAAGGAATGTGTTGAGGAGAGGAGGAGAGCACAGGGCAAGGAATGTGTTGAGGAGAGGAGGAGAGCACAGGGCAAGGAATGTGTTGAGGAGAGGAGGAGAGCACAGGGCAAGGAATGTGTTGAGGAGAGGAGGAGAGCACAGGGCAAGGAATGTGTTGAGGAGAGGAGGAGAGCACAGGGCAAGGAATGTGTTGAGGAGAGGAGGAGAGCACAGGGCAAGGAATGTGTTGAGGAGAGGAGAGCAAAGGACAAGGAATGTGTTGAGGAGAGGAGGAGAGCACAGGGCAAGGAATGTGTTGAGGAGAGGAGGAGAGCACAGGGCAAGGAATGTGTTGAGGAGATGAGGAGAGCACAGGGCAAGGAATGTGTTGAGGAGAGGAGGAGAGCACAGGGCAAGGAATGTGTTGAGGAGAGGAAGAGAGCACAGGGCAAGGAATGTGTTGAGGAGATGAGGAGAGCACAGGGCAAGGAATGTGTTGAGGAGAGGAGGAGAGCACAGGGCAAGGAATGTGTTGAGGAGAGGAGGAGAGCACAGGGCAAGGAATGTGTTGAGGAGAGGAGAGCAAAGGGCAAGGAATGTGTTGAGGAGAGGAGGAGAGCATAGGGCAAGGAATGTGTTGAGGAGAGGAGGAGAGTACAGGGCAAGGAATGTGTTGAGGAGAGGAGGAGAGCACAGGGCAAGGAATGTGTTGAGGAGAGGAAGAGAGCACAGGGCAAGGAATGTGTTGAGGAGATGAGGAGAGCACAGGGCAAGGAATGTGTTGAGGAGAGGAGAGCAAAGGACAAGGAATGTGTTGAGGAGAGGAGGAGAGCACAGGGCAAGGAATGTGTTGAGGAGAGGAGGAGAGCACAGGGCAAGGAATGTGTTGAGGAGAGGAGGAGAGCACAGGGCAAGGAATGTGTTGAGGAGAGGAGGAGAGCACAGGGCAAGGAATGTGTTGAGGAGAGGAGGAGAGCACAGGGCAAGGAATGTGTTGAGAAGAGGAGAGCAAAGGACAAGGAATGTGTTGAGGAGAGGAGGAGAACACAGGGCAAGGAATGTGTTGAGGAGAGGAGGAGAGCACAGGGCAAGGAATGTGTTGAGGAGAGGAGGAGAGCACAGGGCAAGGAATGTGTTGAGGAGAGGAGGAGAGCACAGGGCAAGGAATGTGTTGAGCCGCTACGATAAACTCTGGCAATACAGTCTCCGGAAGGAGCTTCGTCCTCAAGTCCTCTGAATATCCTTCAAACTTGTGAAAGCCAATTTAAATCCCCTTGACACGGACTACCTCGAGGGAGTAGTAGGAGAGAGAGAGAGAGAGAGAGAGAGAGAGAGAGAGAGAGAGAGAGAGAGAGAGAGAGAGAGAGAGAGAGAGAGAGAGAGAGAGAGAGAGAGAGAGAAGGGAGGGGGAAGATTAAAAGGTATTCTATGACCAGGCGACAAAAATTCTGCAAGCAAAACATAGGTGGGCAGACTGCATTTTCTTAGACTGTCAGAAACCCTTTCACACAGTACCTCATAAAAGGCTGTTACAAAAGTTGGAGCAGCAGGCAGGAGTAAAAGGTAAGGTGCTCCAGTGGATAAGGGAGTATCTAATCGACATGAAACAGCCAGTAACTGTGAGGGGAGAGCCATCAGCGTGACGATATGTCACCAGCGGAGGTCCACACGGTTCTGTACACGGACCCATCCTGTTTCTGGTATATGTAAACGATCTTCCAGAGGGTATAGACTCATTCCTTTCAAAGTTTGCTAATGATGTAAAAAAATATGAAAAGAATCAAGATACATGACAGGTGAAGGAAAGACGTGATTACCACATACAAAATTTTCAGAGGAATTAGCAGGGTGGAAGAAGCCAAATTATTTAACAATGGGGAAACAAGAGCAAGGGAGCAAAAGTGGAAACTTATGACCCAAACGACCCACAGAGACATGAGAAACAATTTGTATATTGTTAGAGTTGTTTCAAATGCAATGCATTAGATAGTGATGTGGCGGAGGCTGACGCCATTCACAGATTCAAATGTAGAAATGATGAAGCCCAATAGGCTCAGGAATCTGTACACCAGTTGACTGAGAGTTGAGAGACGGGACCATAGAGCCAGAGCTCAACCACCGCAATATCAACTAGGTGACTACTAGTCTTCTCACCCTCCACATGAACCACTAGTCCTCTCACACTCCTCGTGAACCACTTCTCCTCTCACCCTCCTCATGAACCACTAGTCCTCTCACCCTTCTCATGAACCACTTCTCCTCTCGCCACTTCTCATGAACCACTAGTCTTCTCACTCTCCTCATGAACCACTGGTCCTCTCACTCTCCTCAAGAACCACTGGTCCCCCCCATCCTCCTCATGAACCACTTGTCCTCTCACCCTCCTCATGAACCACTTGTCCTCTCACCCTCCTCATGAACCTCTAGTATTCTCACCCTCCTCATAAAACACTAGCCCTCTCACCCTTCTCATGAACCACTAGCCCTCTCACCCTCCTCATGAACCACTAGCCCTCTCACCCTCCTCATGAACCACTAGCCCTCTCACCCTCCTCATGAACCACTAGCCCTCTCACCCTCCTCATGAACCACTAGCCCTCTCACCCTCCTCATGAACCACTAGCCCTCTCACTCTCCTCATGAACCAGTAGCCCTTTCACTTTCCTCGTGAACCACTGGTCCTCTCACCTTCCTATTGAACCACTGGTCATCTCACACTCCTCATGAACCATTGATCGTCTCACCCTCCTCATGATCCACTAGTCCTCTCACCCTCCTCATGAACCACTGGTCCTCTTGCCTCTTCTCATGAACCACTGTTTCTCTTACCCTCCTCATACACTATTCATACTCTAACCGTCCATATGAACCACTAGTCCTCTCAACCCTCCTGATGAACTACTGGTCTTCCCACCCTCCCAATGAACCAACAGTTCTCTAACCCCTTCCTCATGAACCACTAGTCCTCTCATCGTCCTCATGATCCACTGGTTGTCTCTCTCTCTTCCTGACTCACTAGTAGTCTCACCCTACTAATGAATAACATGTCTTCTCATAAACCACAGGTTCTCTCCCCATCCTCATGAACCACTGGTCCTCTCACCCCTCATGAACTACTCGTCCTCTCATCCTCATGAACCACTGGTCCTCTCACCCTCATGAACTACTCGTCCTCTTATCCTCATGAGCCACTGGTCCTCTCACCCTCCTCATGAAATCCTGGTCCTCTCACCCTCCTCTTAAAGCATTTGTCCTCTCACCCTACTCATGAACTACTGGTCCTCGCAACCCTCGAGAACTACTGGTTCTCGTATCCTCATGAAGCGTGGGAAAATTCCTAGCAGGCTATATTTATTTTACTCAATGAATATTTTTTTTAGTTTACTTAATATTATTTTGGTTCTGAGTGGACTGTATAAATTGATCCAGCCTGCCAGAATCTATCTGCACACAACGGGGGGGGGGGGGACAATTTGTAGTTTGTTCCATCTTGAAGTGGATACTGGATAAAGTACAAATTGTTTACCTATTCTTTAATAAAAATTATACCACATATGGTGGTCTAATCTACTATTATTTTTAAATCTACTTTATCTTGAATAATACTACTCTTTCTACAGTATCAAATAACATAAAAGGCCTTAGCTGAATAGATGCGATGTCCTAATTAGGCTGGATAATGTCCCAACTTCTGTTTAGGGTGAGGCCACATGTGGCACAGGGCCATGTAATTGCGTCTTGCACTAAGGCGTTGGTGTGCAGCTAGTGTATATAAGCGTCACAGTTTATGTTGACCAGCTTATTCTTGTAACTCCAAATCACTAGCTTCTTGCCGAATTAAGTACATTAGTAAAAGCACATTAACATATTAGGTACAGGTGTGACATGGAATAATTTTGTGTGTAGTAGAGCGCTGAGTAAACATCCTTGTTTGGGATTTTAATCCCACAAAATAACCGCCAGACCTAATCTATCTAAACAGTAAATGGCCACAAACTTGTTATAGATACTTGATAAGACAGATACTCAGGTGTTCTTGTAGTTGTAAAGGTCACAATAGCAGTTACTCGGTTGGTTGATTCATAATTGTGAATCTATGATGAGTGGCGCTTGTGTGTGTGGCTTTGTTTTCAAGTTGTTGTGTGTACGTGACTAGCTGCTTCTCTCCCTGAGGGTGACGATCCAAAAATGTTTGTTAGTTCTATATATTTCTTAAGGACAAGAGAGTCAAGCTAAATTTCTGGTGTATTTAATTATATTCAGTCCTACTGAATACTATTTTATTAAGTATAAACACTAGACCGAAGTTTTAAAAGAAATGAGATTCAATATTTACGTCTGTTGTGATGACGTCATGGAGTCCCATTCTCTGATTTAATAAGGGTAACAGTATTATGTTGACGTGTGTCGGATTTCCGACATAATTCCAGGGGGGAAGGGAAAACGGGTCGAAGTCCTGGTAAGGACTGCGATCACTTTATTCCTCGCCTTCAAAATTATAGAGGTTCTTTAATTTGAGCCTGCACTTTCGTGCAGCAGTCCTTTCAGGACGAATGTCTAGAACTGGCACTTCAGATGCTGGAAGTCGTGGAACACCTTTTCCTACCAGTTCTAAAGGAACTAATTTCTCTAATGTTCTGAGAGTAGTGCTGCCTCGGCATTTTACTTTCACTATTCTCAAGAACAGAGACTATTTGGCCTATAGGCCTGTTACGGCCACTTAAAACCTGTAACTGGGTTCTTGTTGGAGGAACCTATGTGTCGTATCCGGCCCCGAGTCGGCAGTACGCTTTCAAGAAAATGGCTGTATAGTGCAAAATAAAGAAAGAGAAGGGGGGGGGGGGAATGAACAAAACACTGTTTCCGTTATCAATATATTTCCACCACCTTAAATAGAAGCATAAATTGAAATATTCATACACTTATATACAATTATACCCTTTCACTCAGGATATCGAACGTGCTCACGTGCAGAGTTCGTCATTCCCAGTGTTTCCTCTACTGCCCAGTACCTTTTTCCACCGTACTGAGGAAACTCTGGCGAGTTTAACCATATACATGGGCCAGCCCACTGACAGTGTCATAAGGTGCCAATGCCCCTCGACCCCTTTCTAGCCACCTGCTGGCAGAAAACCTCAGCCATACGCTGATTGGGGCAACAACACAATTAATACAGGGGTAGCAAACCCCCGGCAGAAGCCTCTAGCATCCAGTTAGCAGCGCTTCTCCACAGACACCTTACTGTCACACATTTCTTCCCTTAGCCAGTCCCGGGATACACCAATCTCTTCCAATACAACTGCACTAGCAGACAACGCACTCTGCTGCAGATCAGCGGCGGCTTACTTAGTCATCTGACTAGACTAAGGTGGGAGAACGTAGGCTGCCCAAGGTAAACTGCTATCCTCAGTACCACTGTCGCCCCACGTCACCTCTGTGGACACAGACACTTCATTAGATAAATGGAAGGTCCTGGGAAACCAAGAAGTAACATTTATGCACTGGGGACGTTGACATTGTGCTCAGTAGCACAACAGATGGCGCTGATCTCTAGTCGCCATCTCACAAGAGGTCATCCACAACGACCCCTCTGGCTGACCAAGGCAGGAATCTTGAGCCACTTG